ACTGAAAAATGTGCGATACACTTCATAGACTATAAAGGTTACAACAACTTAAAACCTTTTTTAAAAAAGGCTAACTCGGGCTCGAAAAGCTACGAGTCTGTCGGTAGAAGAAACGAGAACTGTTTCAGTTTTAACAAATGTTTTCGGCAAAAATAAAGAAAACGCTTGTTGAAAAACTTCCTGGTCGCTGTTACTAAAAATTGTATTGCGTGACTAGTGTGACTTTCTAGAAGCTTCGCGAGAGTTCATAATTTGTTTATTTTAGGATCTTGCGTAAGCGTTTCTAAAAGCGGTATATTTTGTAATCTTTCTATAATTAGACTATTTGGAAAGTTCTGGAATCTTATTGTAAACGTATATAAGGTAGGCGAGCCCGAGTTAAGTTTTAACTAGTTTTCACAAGCGAAGAGAGTTTGACGTTGGTCGTGTTTAGTCAAGTGTGACGAAGGCAGTTTTTATTCAAGGTGGCGGAGGCCGCGTAAGTTTAACGAGTTACGTGCTGTTGTGGAGTTTTACTCAGTGGAAACTACGTTCATCTTTGGAATAAATCTTGTTGTTGCTGTTCCGACAACCCTGCGTTCAGTTTAGTTTGCAAGCTACCCGTCCTCTAAAAGATTACCCGCGTAAAAGTCGCAAACTCCCAATATAAACTCTTTGCACAAGTAACTGGAAAGAGGAGGAGAGACGTTGGGCTTGAAGTGCCAGTAAAGTACATTCAAGCGGATATTCAAGGCATGACTTTAATAAAAAACAAGTAATAATCCACAGCAAGAGGGGATAAAGCTCCAGCTTTATCCTCTCTTGTCCACAGAAAGGAGTTTGTTCCCAATAACGATTGAAATCCGGAATCCAAGTTCTACTAAGAGAGAATAGATCATAGTCTCTTGGTTCTACTGACAAAGACTTGAATCCAGTACCTGGAATCTGGAATTACTTACCTAATTTATTGTCTTTTCTTAACTCTGGTGGAGTTGATAACTTACCGTTTTCAGTGTCTGGTTTACTTTCTTTTTCAGCTTCATGATATCGGGCGTTATTATTTCCTTACCTACTTACTCACTTAGTTATTTACGATGCATGTTTTCAAGATTTGACTGAGACGCACATTGAATGGCTTCCTATTGTCAGGTTGTCCTGGTTGCCATTTAGGGGAAGAGAACAAGAAGTTATATTGAACTCTCTGGGTTGCCGTCTCAGTTGTAAAAATAAAAGCATTAAGCGAAAATCTTGCTTCGAGGAACAGCCTCCTTTCTGTGGATTATTAGTTGTTTCCATGTTAAATTCATGCCTTGAATACCGCTTGAATGAAGTTTCATGCGCCTATTTACATTTTCTTTCAGTTTTGCCGAAAACATTTGTTAAATATAAGAGTTCTCGTTTCTTCTACCGACAGACTCGTAGCTTTTTGAGCCCGAGTTCGCTTTTTTTAAAAAAAAGGCTTTAAGTTGTTGTAACGTTTATAATCTGTAGTCTATGAAGTGTATCGCATATTTTTCAGTAATTGAACCCTTAAGCATTTGTGAGCAATTCATCGACAACAAGAAAGCAATGGTAACTTATGGTAACTTTTTTTTATCAGATACTGTTATGCATAAGTATATTCAAAGCTGAATTTACACATAACTGGGCCCGACGGAAAGAAAAAAAAAATAAACTTGCGCTGAACACAAAAGTCGGCCAGCTTTTTCTGTTAGGTCTTTTCTTGAGACATTATTTTGTTGACTCTAACATCCGTGACCTGTAAATTGGCTACCGTAGAGTATTGTGCATAAAAAAGATTTTTTCCCTTTATATTGTGTTCATATCAGTCGTTTTCACTCAGCTGTTACCTCGAACCCCAAATCATTTTCCCCTGCCGCGACATTGGACCCGCGACCGCGACTTTGGACCCGCGACCGCGACTTTGGACCCGCGACCCCGACTTTGGACCCGCGACCGCGACATTGGACCCGCGACCGCGACTTTGGACCCGCGACCGCGACTTTGGACCCGCGACCCGCGACTATTAGTCAAACTCCTTAAGGGCACATTCATGTGACTTTTGAGGAAAAGGCTAAGTTATTTTAGAGTGAAACATCTTACATCGAATTGGTAACTTTATATGTACACCCAAAAAATAGCAAACCTCTTCGATCACATTCAAGATCACAGTAGATTAGGCCTCGAAAACAAATTCTTGGAAAACAAAGCACGCCGAATTTTTTGCGTTCAACAGGTTTACTTTACAAATTCTTACCAACAAATCTGGGGGTGTTTAAACCAACCTTTTATAATTTTTATACATCACATTTGAGGTGAAACAATACTATTTATCATACAGACCTCGGACAGAATACGGTATTTCACAATTTTTCAAGACAAATTGCACTCAGTCAATATTCAGGACGATCAATCATAGGCTTAAAGCGAAACCGTTCTCGTTTCTATAGTGCGAGCAGTCAGTGTGGTCGAGTGTTTGAATGAACTTTAATAGAGTTACGCTTCAACATAATAGCGAATT